GTTTTTGAGAAACGTAAGGCAACATTAAACATAAAAAGATAAGGCATAAACGTAATACCGTAAGGCATAAAACAATTAATTGCTCAACTTCTGTTCCAACAGATCAAAACAGCAAAACTCCCAACACAGGAAAGGAAGGTGGGGAAATTTATGTTCGCCACAGATATAATTGCATTCTAATTTTAAGAAACTCAAGGATCAAAGTGGCAAAAAGGACAATCTCAACTTCAACATCAGCATGTTCCACGGCAACACCTCCAACATCGAGTCAGCGCAAGAAAGGAAGGAGGGGACATTGATATTTCACAGAGGATGACAATAGTGCGCCTGACAATGGGTGGGTGGCGGGCGCCCAATCTGTTGTTATCCCCTCCACACAGCTATTGTCACGGCCAATGCAACGCTGGTGCACCGTGTATTTGTATCTCACCGAGAACATGCGCCTGGCGATCCAATGGTGAACTAGCAGACGACGCTTGGGCCGCCTATTAGTGCAGTAAAAATAAGAGAAAAATTCCATAAACCTAAAAAAAATTAGCACAACCGGGGAATTTGGTACAGATGTTGGGTGTACCTTCCTTTTGAACATACTAAAAGTCCCCTAAAATTGAAGCTGTGCTACGGCCGCCATATTGGAAAATGGCGGCATAATTCTGTATTTTTCGCTATAGTGACTTTATTTTTAGAGATACACGAAAAAGCTAAATGTACAAAATGTAGGTCATCTAAAAATACACATTTTTTGTATTTACCCTTTTTCTCTAAACCCAACGGTTTTTGAGTTATTCGTTATTAAGTATATTTAGTTTTTTCTATTTATCAAAAATAGGTGAAACACATGGAAATTGACCGTTACTTTCAAGGATTATGATAATTTATCCTATTTAGTTAAATAGTGCGATACTATAAAATCTTAAAATTTAAGCTTATTTTATGAGTAAAACAACTCCGCCACAGCAAACCTGCAGACTCAGCAAATTTCCATTTGATTGGATGTTTTATTTAAATAAAATTAGATTCAACAGGTACCTAGGTTTGCTGCTACAGGTAGGTTATTATAGTGTGTGTTTTTTTAAGTAAAATTTCAATAACTTAGTATAAAATAATTAATTTTCCAAGTTTGATCATAATAAATCTATAAACAAACTGCAACGGTTAACTAATTCATAATAATAGCATGGTAGCTTAAGATTTACAATTTACAAATTTAAATATACAAATTTTGGTTGTGTTTACTGAAAATATGGCGATTATTCGTTACGATTCGAATACTAACCGAATGGGTTTTCATAAGGAGATGAAGCAAGTAATTTAAGTACTGTAATATTAACTCGTACCAAGTATCGGAATTATTGTATGCAGTGAGGAAATCAACCATATTTTGTAAACTACGCAATAGTCATATTAATATTTTATACTAATTTTTACCCATTTAATAAATTAACTTTTTAATATTTTGATGGCACTACCACTATCACTCTGATATCAACTAAGTGGGATGAATAATTGTCGTAAACCTAGAAAAGTAACCGTTGATTGCGATGGGTTTCACCGATTTTTGATAAATAAAACTAACTATACTATACCATACTTAATTAGTCACCAACATGAACCAGACACGAAAAACACCCTTCCAAATTTACAATGGGATGTCAAGTATAGTTAGTTAGTGTGGTGGTGCCATCAAAATACTAAAATTTTAACTATTAAATGGGTAAAAAATTAAGATAAAATATTAATATGACTATTGCGTACTTTACAAAATATGGTAGATCACCTTACTGCATACAATATTTTCGGTGCTTGGTACGAATTAATATTACTTAAATAATAGGCTCCATCTCCTTTTGAAAACCCATTTGGTTAATATTCTAATCGTGACTAATCGCCATCTTTTTAGTAAACACAACCAAAATTTGTATATTCAAATTTGTTTATTGCAAATTTAAAACTCCCATGCTATTCTTAGGAATTAGTTAACTGTTGCAGTTTGCTTGTTTATTGGTATATTTTGATCAAACTTGGAAAATTAGTTATTTTATAGTAATGTATTGATATTTTACTTAAAAAAAAAACACACACTATAAAAACCTACTTGTAGCAGCAAACCTAGGTACCTGTTGAATCTAATTTTATTTAAATAAACATCCAATCAAATGGAAATTTGCTGAGTCTGCAGGTTTGCTGTGGTGGAGTTGTTTTACTCATAAAATAAGCTTAAATTTTTAGATTTTATAGTATCGCACTATTTAACTAAATAGGATAAATTATCATAATCCTTGAAAGTATGGTCGCCATTTCAATGAAAAGTATCAAAGTAAAGTAAGTATAAAGTAACGGTCAATTTCCATGTGTTTCACCTATTTTTGATAAATAGAAAAAACTAAATATACTTAATAACGAATAACTCAAAAACCGTTGGGTTTAGAGAAAAAGGGTAAATACAAAAAATGTGTATTTTTAGATGACCTACATTTTGTACATTTAGCGTTTTCTTGTATCTCTAAAAATAAAGTCACCATAGCGAAAAATACAGAAATATGCCGCCATTTTCCAATATGGCGGCCGTAGCACAGCTTCAATTTTAGGGGACTTTTAGTATGTTCAAAAGGAAGGTACACCAAACATCTGTACCAAATTCCCCGGTTGTGCTAATTTTTTTTGGGTCAAAACATATTTTTACTGTACTATATTGTCTGCACCTGCTGGAGCGTGTCGTACTGAAGTCGGACAGAAAGGATTTCATTGTTGACTTCCGTGGAATTTGAGTCTGTTTGATTCTACGACTTGTTATTTTCAAATTTCTTCAAAGGATTATGCTTTTGTTCCAGTGGAATTTATTTCATGAAAACGTTCACATTTTACAGCTTTTTTTAGGTCGGGTTTATTTGATTAGTTTTATCTGATTGATGTCCATGTAGAAATCAAATTCGTCACTATGCACTATTTTTTAAATGGTTTGTAATAAAGTATGTAAATTACATAACTATTGCATGTTGCATCATTTTTGTTAGGCATGTCCAGGATTGTAAGAAATGATCAAATGGTGCTGGACTGAAGTGTAGTGTTTGGTTCAATATCTAAATAAATTTCACGTTTTAAGACTTATTCTTTTAATCCAACTCAAAAATTTTCGACACATTTTCTATCGTTGATGCTTCTATCCTTGGTTTTACTTCTGGGTTTCGTATTTTTAAAAGATTTTTTTGTGTATTCATCAAGCATGCGTAAGCAATTTCATTTTTGTTCTTTATGCATTTTTATAGATCAATTTGGAGATTTAAAAAAAATTTTCATCTTGAGAGATCTATTGAAGATAATTTTAATTTTTTTTTATTGAGATTTTTTTTTATAAATCCGTCTCTTCCCGTTTTTGGAGACTTAAATAAAGCTTAAACGTAGTTTATTTTATAGAACATGTTTTATCATGGGATGAGAAGTTTACTTGTACTTGCAATTTTTTTTCTTCAAGTGTCAAGTTCCTTTGGAGTTATCCAGTTTTATTTTATAACTTTCTTTCCCTTCTTTTCCAAAACCCTTCCTTCCTACTATGATAACACAAACGACCAAAAATCTGTTGATGTGTTCAAGTGCTATGTTACGAATGTAAAAGTAAATAATGTGTAACTGTTCATGACCTCCAGATTAGTTTCTTCTGGTATTCGGTTATTTTCCTCTGATAAATTATTACAGAATTTTTCGGATATTGATATAACTTTATTTCTTCTATTTTTATTTCCTCTCCCAAAATAACTCTTCCTTTTTAGCTTTTTATATATTTCCCAAATAATAGCTGCAACCACTTAATAAAAATTGCAACAATCTCCATTCTAAGGTGCATCAAATGAACACAATCATCAAAGTTACTGTTCAAATATTCCCTGAAAATGCTTCATTACATTCTGTGTTAAAACAGAATGGAGCATAAAATGTACCCCTCAGTTAAGCTTCCTTGGGGTAATGCTACTGTGAATTCTGTTGGAATATTTGTTCCGAAAAACGGTGAAATATAAAAATTTCTTAGTAATTGAAAGTTGTTTTGATTATTATTAAAGTTTGTAAAGTAAAATCATTTATACTTACCTTAGATCAACTTATTGGAGTAATTATTATGGGAAGCTCAGTTTTCCTCCATTGTATTTTAGTAGTTGATGAACACATTTTTTGAAATATTTTCACACATTATAATCTCATAGAACAACTATTTCTTTAATTTGAAACATTTAAATGTCCACTCAATAATAAGAATGAAAATACTAATAACAATAACTTATAAAATATTTTACTTTCTGTTGTAGTACAGTATATTTATTTATGTGAAAAATTTTACTTTACTAAAATGTTTTGTGGAAGTGACAATAGATAACAAAAAAACAGAAACTTATCACATATTACAGACACAGAGACATTTTACATATTTAAACATCAATTTTATTGTTACTGTGTCTGTCAAAATGATGATAAAACTTGTTATAGAAAGGATGACACATTTTGGCGGTTAGAATAATATAAACTCCATACCAATTGTTTAAAGAATCTATCCTTAAGTTTCTATCAACCAATAAAAAAAGAACTATTATAGCAATGAATCATAATAGTATGTTTATTTTTTTTCAAATGCAACAAGTTAAAAGAAGAAAGATGAAATAGAGAGGCACTGTCTTCTAGAACAGCATGCAGTATTGATTGAAAACTTAGTGGGCCTAAACGGCCTCTGTAAAATATGTTGTTCAATGTTTATTAATTTGTCAATACAATTTTTTTCAATTTTTATGGAATGAAAACACAATAAGGAACACAATAAATAAACAGGTAAACAAAAAAAAACGTAAAACAAAGTAAATTAACAACTACAAACCTATTGTTATCAACAATGATTGAAAGAATACAATAAAGTAAAGTATAAAAACATAAATAATCTTCTAGTAACTAAATAGATCAGATAGTTAAACAAACTAAATCAAATAGAGGAAGTATTGAAGGTGAGTAATAACACCATATCAACCATAAACAGAGGTTTATTTTGTGAAAATCGTCAAGACTGGTAAATGTACAGCAAATTATAAATGGTAAATAACAAAATAAAACTATACACATAAATACACTTTGGTAGAAATATCAGCAAGGAAAAATCATGCTCTCGATTCGGTAATTAATTGCACCGAACTATAAAATAGTAAAACCTATTATTACAACACTGATGACTGTGAACATACAGAAGCACAGGAGTGACTAGAACGGGAAATAAAATTGAGCGACATATCAGAAAAGTATAAAAATAAAGAGTATTATAAACAGATCTAAACAGCAAAGCATCTAATTAACAGCTAGGTGATATGATCACTACAAAATACAACCAGGATTATCACAATCTGGGTGTGGTCGAACTTAAAATATAAATTATGTTAAAAAATCACTTGGTTTAGTAAAAAAATAAACACATTCATTTGAGGTTTAAATAATTCTATTTTACTTTCTTTTTGTTTCTTTACTCACATCTGGTAGCTTTTCAGCATTGTAGTTTTGAATTCATTATTTATTTTCCTAAATCTGAATAATAAAAGGTTAACACAAGAAAAAATTAAATTGTATTTTTTAAAATCATGATTTTCATTTGTATTACAATACTCATTGATCGGAATAAAATAATTTGTTGCCAACAACTTTTTTATACATTAAAACATCCAACGTATCCACTTCAGTTCTTGAAAATATTTGCAGTTTAGTACATTTTGATAGGAAAATTGTTGAGTGACCAATTCTTTCTTCAAATAAAAGAAAAAAGAGTATGAGATGAAGTAGTGAGATCTGAAAAATCAATGAATAAAAAAAAAAGTCAAATGAATAAGAAAATATTCATACAATTAAAACATAGACATTTGGGAAAGCATTGTGAGTACCAAGGTTCAAATAATAATTATTAACTACAAGACGTTAACTGAACGTTAGAAAATGTTAGAAAAAAAGTACTATTTCTCAAAATATGGTTGGTTAAAGTGGCAAAAGGAGCTATTCGCCAAAACATAAACCTATTAGGAAATTATGAATATTTCAATTTTTTTCATTATCATAGGAATAAAATTGTATTATCTGAACATTTCTGTCAAATGATCATGTGAAAATATTGATTAGTCGATAAACAACTTGTTATTTAACTTGAACATTTTAAAATGTAGTTTCATATGTTCCATGAAGAAAATCGCCCTTAAAAAATGAAACAAAGGCTGATATATTGTGGGTAGTCTTTCAATTATGAAATTTTAGGTGATATAAATATTTCACACAATTGTCACAAAATTATTGACAAAATGGTGTTAAAAAAAGAAACACAATTTCCTCATGTCCAATAGTTTTTAAACAATGTAGATAATCACCGAAATAGATCAAACAAATTAATACATTTAAACAATAAAATCTGTTCGGTAAAAGTGTTTGTAGAACAAAAATCAATCAACATCAATACATAGTTGGTAAACGATACAGTAGGTTTTCTAATCTGTTCTAACAATGAAACACGGTTACAGGGTCTATATCTGTCTATAGTAAAAATGTATCACATTCCAACACTGTTTTTCTGTGCAGAAAATTTACACACATTCAAAAATAACTTTTTCAAATTATATTTGAAAACATTGATTATTGTCAGCAATAACTTTTACAAAATTTCAATTCCACAAAATTTACTCATAAAAAAAATGTTGAACCAATAAATTTTAATTTTTTGTTACCATTAAATACGGACCACATTTGATGTGGTAAAACGATTAAACAATGTGATATTTTTTTACACAGCTGATCTCAATAATTAATGCTGTTTTCAAATTATTTTATAGTCACTGTAAAAAAAAAACTTACATCCGTATACATGATTTCAAAAGATGGGCGTAGTCAGGAAACTAATTTACTTATTCTTCTCCAATGATTAAATTTTAAACGTTTTACTGACATTAAATAACAGATGATTGATAAACACTTAAGCAATAAAATTGACTAATCAATAAAAAAATCGATAAACAATCCAAATAGATTTCAACCCGTATAACATAGGGTAAAATGAGTATTACCTGAACATCTCTAAAAATGCATACAAAATTGTGAAAATAAACATACATCACTAAATATAAAATACACAAAACATTTGTATCAATACAATTGTAAATCGCTTTTTAAGATTCACATATAGGCCAGTTTGTGATGATAAAGAGTTCAGTCATGGAGTATACGTTTGAGATCTTTTGACTTCATTACACTTTAAATTATGACGTGGTTAGAAAATCATGACTGCGTGAAATGAGGCGTAGTATACATTATATCTAACCAATAAAAAATGGCACAGTAAAAATTAAAATATCATAGATTAGGAAAACAGCTAAAACTACTCTTAACACTAAAAATCATGGTACAAGAACGTAAATCATGGCTATTTTGTGCTCCATTTAATGGTAACCATGGATTTTAAATGAACCAACAACGGTTTGTTTAAAGAAACATCATCAATTAAAACACTAATTTAATAAAATACGACAAAGAACCGTTTTTTGAGTAATCTATGATTTCAATGAACTTTACAGTATGCTATATTTATAAAAGTAAGTCTTAAGATAGTTTATTGTTTAGAGATGATTTTATACATCTTGAAAACTTTTGTGATAAGGACTAATATTCAATGTGATCTAAATTATGGTTCTTCACAATCGTCTATTCCCAGTTGAACTGAAAGACAATGACAAAAATACTTTAAAGTATTTTTATACTACTTAATACCAGCATGAAAAATGTTGAACTCACAAGTTTTACATTTCATTAAGCAATGTTGTAATAATTATTACTTATTACCACAATCATTGTGGTAATTAACTATCAGAACTATTTCAACTTTTCAAAAACTGTCACACACATACACCTAACTTGTGCAAAGTTGACTTAAGAAGCACCAGCATTTATTCATCAAACATGTGGCCTATTATGCTTTTAGGTTGAGGGAGCGAGCTGGTCTAGTGGTTAGAGAGCGGGACTTCGGTTCCAGAGGTCCCGGGTTCAAATCCCGTCAAATCACTAATGGATTTTATCCATGTGATAATGCCGCAACCCCTAGGTCTAGCTAAAGTAATGTGAAAAACAATTCTGGGCTCGTGTCTAGCGTCCTAGGATAAAAAATAAGAAATATGCTTTGAGGAGGGAGCTGGCATTATGGTAAACTGCAAGGGCTTCCATTCCTGGAGGTTCTGGGTTCCCACCAATCACCAATTGATTTTATTTCGGTGATAATGCCACAGCCGTCTCTAGCTTTAAGTAATGTGGAAAGAATTCTGTGCTACATCCTAGAGAGAAAAAGACCCTGTTTGGGGCAATCCATTAAATTAAACTAGTTTCAGTGCTAAATTGGTGCCATTGGTGTTACGTGTGGGGCTGTGTTAGACATTTTGCATATTATAATCATCTCCTGTTGAAGACCATATTCAAAAGAATTGAAGATTGCCACAGAAGACAGCAAGATGGTGACACCGATTCATACTCCATTTTTATTATTTATCGATAATCCGAAGGCTACTAAACCAAAGTTAAAAATAACAAACTGTCCTACAAATTTGATGTGAAATATCAAAAATTATTATCCAACCCTTGTAAAACTTGTGCTCAAATTTCTGGGACAGACGAGTGTGAAGATCCTAACTGTGACAAACCGGAGCAGCAGCGGTGTACGTTTCCAACGTCCATTGGGTTGTGCGGAGTCGCTAGCTATAGTGGGGCACAACTTGACTTACAAAACTGTTAAAATACGACAAAAGATGTATTTACATATCACATGATAGTTGGGCACCGGTGTGGCTCAAACAGGCGACCTGCAACATAGAGAGGATGAGTTAGTGTCATGGTACAACATAAATATGGTAGAAAACATCATTACAGTAGTGTTTCAATTATTTGACATTATGGTTATATCAACATCCTTCCCTATAAATGATCAAGAACAAGTGAGATTGTCTGCTATTTTTGTGTGACATGACGGTACACTACAGAAGATACGCAATATTAGTTCAAAGAAATGTAATATTCCGAAAGAGAATGAAATTCGTTACAAATTACTAATATGCGTTTCTTGAAAATACTCAATAAAGGGAGCCAAAAGTTTTCTCCAAATAAAAAATGTGAAACCCCCTTTTCCAATGTACTGTATTTCTTATAGAAAACAAAACATGTTTAGGAAGTGAGCATTTACGACGTCCCTTTAATAATAAAATCGGTCCAGTAGAACTGTAGATTTAGTTGTACAAAAGATGTTTTAAACCCCCAGGACCCAAGACCCACAGGAATTTTCAGAGGAAAGTCTCCCAGTCAAATCACCCACTGAGCAAAATTTAACCCTTAGAGTGCCAGGCGAGAAATAAAAGTAACGCTCAAAAAATGCCGATGATTTTTCCCGAAGGTCGCGCTAAAAATGCCGAGCGCGATCTGGCGATTTTTAGGTTAAAATTTCGTAAAAATCGAATTTTCGATATTTCGACCAACGAAAATCGATGTATCGCATCTAGCAACTTTCGACTCAATGTTAATATATGGGTTAAAAGAATCCGAGTATTTATTCGGTTGTTATGACAGCTGTTCGATCATTACGAAACGTCCGGTCAACCGGACGTTGGCACTTTTGGCTCGTTCTAAAAACGTCCGGTCGGCCGGACGTTGGCACTTTTGGCTCGTTTTAAAAACGTCCGGTTCCCCGGACGTTGGCACTCAAAGGGTTAAGAGGATATTTTAATTTTACTAAATCATTGTAGTTGGCTGATCATTGCTGATTGTCGTTCGTTATTATCAGCTAATAGTAAAAGTATGTGTAATCACATATTCACTTGATGCTACATACTGTACCAGTGTTACGTGATGAGGCGGGGTGAGTGTAGGCCCTCCACCTGTCTGTCTATGACGGGGCAATGTGAGCTGCCGGGGGGCCCCCAGTCATGCAGTCCCCCGCTGTTGGCTAGCCTGTGTGTCAGTCGATGAGCTATGGAGAAGCCCCCGCTGCCCTCTAGTTGAGTCAGCACTATGATCACTTGCCTACAACATAACATTTAGATCGGTTTTGCGATATTTCAATTAATTGTGGTAATCAACAGGACTTGACTTATTCAGCAGACATTAAAAAAATTACAATATATCGTAAAAGTCTGATTAACCGACAAAGGGAGTGAGTCCAATTTGGATAACCCATTTTTTTGGTTAACACCTTCACCGCTGAAGAGCCTTAACAAGGCGACCCAAAAATGCAGCAAGGCTCACACTGGGTGCATAAGGGCACTAGTGGAATGACCCGAAAACAGATGCAACCTAAATGAAGTATGGAACCAGCCCAACAACAGGCTGACATAGTTCAGTTGATAAACGTTGATAAAAGATGTACCGCGACTCCGACCGGAGTCATACAAGCCCTGTGCCAGTATGGCGTAACTCTAATCGGAGTCATCAGCAGCGAACGTGTTCTTTAAATAACCGACAGTTTAAATAATTGATCAAAGTCTGATATTTTTTTTATCAGGGTATATGACCCATGTTGTCTCCAGTTCTTTTACATTCTCTTGGCCAAACCAGACCAACAGTACAACTCACAACACGGCAGACAATCCCAGTTGCGTAGCATACTTTCCAATTGATTTTAACTTTTGTTTCATTTAACACAGGTTTCGGTTCAACTGAATGCGGCTCAAGGGGTTTTACAATATAGTTTCTTAACTGGTCCATTTTCTTTGATAATTTGTGTCATCACACTTTTGTCAATTACGCACACCTTAGTCTCAACACTTAGTAAGGGTGTTGTCTCTCTTTGTGTACAATTGAGAAAGTCTCTCAGGGGACGAAATATTGTTATACTCTTCTGTATGTTCCTTTTCATAATTAATTGGACTTTTTAAAAGATTATTCCATAGAACATACAGAAGAGACAGTGAACACATAATATTTTGTTCTGTGGCAAACTTTGTCAAGTGAAGAGAAAGTGATAGTTTACAAAAACTCCCTTCTCTCTATGAGTATAATTTTTTGTAAACTCTCCTCACCTGACAAAGTCCTCCATGGAACAAAATATTGTGTGTTCACTATCTCTTTAGTATGTTCTATGGCCTAAATGTTCAGTTTTTCTTCTGCATGATCTACAGCCTACCTCTACTTTTTCAAGGTAGGCTTTCCGCTATCCCCTTTATCCCACAATTCAAAATCCTAGTCTCGAGTCTTTTCTTGAACAAAACTAACCTTTTTAAATGATATCCATTAATTCTAAAAATCACAATCCTGACCTCACAGTTTATCTAAAATAAAAAATAAAACATAATGAGTATTCAAATTTATATTCTAACAATTCACAAGGCAGACAACATTGTCAACTCAGATACCATACTCTTATAACTCTCGTGCCACTGGGAAATCTGTTTTGTCTTCTGCAATCTTTCTTCTTCATCCGTATCCTTAACGGAGAAACCAACTGTATCTGAGTTTCTCTTCACCTTTGGTTTCTCCTCTTCTCCTACCTTCGGCTTATCCGAGTCCTCTTCCCTCATCTTCCGCAGGTACTTGGGTAGTACGCCCCTCTGGTACGAGGGTGGGGCTCTTGTCGGGTCTAGTTTGGCCAGTTTCTTCGCTGGAGTCAGCCTTGCCTTAATGATGGGCGTCTGGTTCAGTTTGACGTGGTCTACTGGAGCACGACAGTTTGACGCAAGCGCCACGATGCTGTTGATGTCATCACCTCTAGGAGAGGTTTGTGCGTTGGACACTTGAAGTCCAACCTCTCTTTTAGGTTTTGCGTTCACTATTCGATTACTTGGATAGCGAATGATTCCTTCGTAGTCGTTCGGACCTGCAATGGTGGTCTGAGATGCTTGACTCCTAAAAGCTTTACTGGAAGAGGTTCTTTTAATCTCTTGTTTAACATCTGGAAGACTTTTCCTGACGAAAACCTTTTGAGGGTAATTCCCGTAAGCAGCCACCTGTTTGCTAGCAATCCTGTTGATTTCTTTTAGAATTTGATTTTTACCCGCATGTGGTTTATTATTTTCTTTCTGCGATTTAACTTTAATTTGTTGACTCATTTTAAGATTTTGAACAAAAGTAGGACAGATTACAGAATAGATTCTAACGTAAGTGGAAAAATGTAAAAATATTGTTGCTAAGAAACATGATATGACTGTAGTGTTTTCAAATAGAAAATCATACAAATATTTCAATGAGAACACACTTTAGGTGAGTAGTTATAATGTTAATCTTAAAATATCAAAGTTTAGCTGAGTTACAAGTTTAATTTTTATGAAAAGAAACTCATGGATCTCAATAAAGGCCAGTAGCTTTTTGATGGTTTGAAACTGGACCAAAATGTCCTAGACCATTAGATTTTTGATAAATGGACATGCTAGAGGAACATATTATGATCTTGGTCAATAAAAAGGCTATCCAAAACGTTCACTCCATTTTACACCCTGTATTCACATTAATCTGCAAAAGGTGCATTGCTGTATGAAGTGATAAGGTGAAAGATTTCATAACCCAGGGGGATTAAAGATTAAAAACTGGGACGGGTGGCGTCGTCCTGTAATCCAGCTACTACGAGGTGACAAATTGTGGATATTTATAGTCATGCACTGTGGATGCGATACTCCCTGGTGTGGATTAACGTCCGCACGAGTGAGTACTACGACTAACCGCAGTACTATCCTGATAATTAGACCAATTTGTATATATCAAGGAAAAAATGTGGTTCGGATTCCACTATAAACTGTAGATCCCTTAGTTGCCATTGTCACCCTTAGTCACTAACAAGACTACAAGATCGCGCCACTCATCCTACACTCATCTCCATTCATACTTGGCTTAAAATACCTACTATGTATGGTCACCATTTCATTGAACAGTATTAAAAGTAAAAAGAAAATTAACTTCCCCGAGCACTACATCTCAATGTTCCAGAAAAGATAACAAAAATTTGAATGTATATCGACTAATGCAAAATTATACTGCACCTACCTGTGCAAGGGAGGTACAGAGTCGACCGTCCTCAACTGTCCCCTGGTGGACACCACATTGTAACTCTCCTGACAGTCACATTTCACATGGATCCACTTGTTCTCGTGTCTATTCTCCACCATGACCACCAACCCAGCCCAACCCTTAGTCAAGTAGTAGGCCGTCATGCCTTCTCTGCCCTGGAAAACAAATACAATCAACATTCCACACGTTTTATACTTCCAAAAGACAAAAAGAATACAACAAAGAATAAATTTAGCCAAAAATGTCTCAGCGTGCAACCAATAATTATGATAAAAAGTCTCATAAAGCAAAAAAACCGATATCTGTTACAGTACACTCTCGATTAGCTAATGGTGTTGGGACCAATATTGAAGGTTGTTTGAGAATATTACAGGCTGTTGCTGTTACATGTAATTGAGCCTTGTTGGAGGAGTTGTTCTGGTAGAGGAGGGATCGGGTAGTTTGGGACGGATAAGCATATTTTTCATGTTTGGCATTTTTTGAGAGAATAGCAGGCTTACCTGAATGGGAAAGAGTCCAAACTGGCACAGGAAACACAAAACTTTACACTATATACACAAAACATTAGAATATTTCACTGTCACTGACAGCATTTTCAACGAAGGAAGAGAGAGTTTTCTAGATGTCCAAAATGGTGGCCAGTGAGTTGTTGAGTCAGTGTTGCCAATAGTATGAATTCAAAAAACACAGTTTCAGTTTATCTTATATGCACTATTTATATATGAATATGAATAATATCATTGCATATAAGATAAACTGAAACTGCTTTTTGAATTCATACTATTGGCAACACTGACTCAACAAACTCACTGGCCATCATTTTGGACATCTAGAAAACTCTCTCTTCCTTCGTTGAAAATGCTGTCAGTGACAGTGAAATATTCTAATGTTTTGTGTATATAGTGTAAAGTTTTGTGTTTCCTGTGCCAGTTTGGACTCTTTCCCATTCAGGTAAGCCTGCTATCCTCTCAAAAAATCCTAAAAATCTAGCCCCTTGTGCTCTATGCTACACCCTTTTCATGTTTGGCAGTTGCCTCACAAGATGGGGAGGTTCCTTGAAGAGGTCTTTTTTTAGCTGGAGTGAAAAGTGGCTTCACTGCACGGGTGGCAACAGCCATTTTGTGAACTCCCTCTACACGACAAAGGTGACAACAACTAGTGTGAACTTTCTTTCTCTACACATAACAAAGTCCCCATTAGGGACGAAATATTGTGTGTTTTATGTTATCTGTTTGTTCTCAAGCCTAGTTGTATTTCTTCCAAGGAAAGCTAGCCGCCATCCCCGTTTATTATAGTTATATAACTCTTAGTAATGTGGGTAGCAAGGAAAAAAACATAAATTGTCTAGTAGTAAGTGAGGAATATGGACCAAATTGTGAAAATTTATGGACCATTCTTTAAAGATAGAGAATAGAGAATTAAAAAGTCGTATTTTGAAATGGACATTGTAGACGAGGCAAGAAGCAGGAGGATGAGATGGGCTGGACATGTACTACCTTTCTTAACCTTTCTCGAGCCTTTGACTAATAAAAATATACTTAACAAACTTTTCAATCAACCTCATTCTCAAATAAATGTCTTTTCACATAAAAAACAAATATGAGATTGGAAGGTGATGTCTAATGATGAAGCCAGTGTATCTACCTCATGCCGCTGACCCTTAGCCAGTGTGAGACTGATGATAGCATCAGCTAACATGAAGGCGGGCGGAGACACCTGCTCCACTAGCAGTCTCTTGGAGCTGTGGATGGCCAACACATACTGAGGATAGTTGGCTGGGTCCTCTATACCTGCAATTACAAGTCTTTATAACATCAGCCAACATGAAGGCAGGAGGAGACACCTGCTCCACTTGTGATTGCAGTGAGCCTCTTGGAGCTGTGGATGGCCAACACATACTGAGGATAGTTGGCTGGGTCCTCTATACCTGCAATCACAAGTCTTTATAACATCTGCCAACATGAAGGCAGGAGGAGACACCTGCTCCACTAGTAGTCTCTTGGAGCTGTGGATGGCCAACACATACTGAGGATAGTTGGCTGGGTCCTCTATACCTGCAATCACAAGTCTTTATAACATCTGCCAACATGAAGGCAGGAGGAGACACCTGCTCCACTAGTAGTCTCTGGGGCTGTGGATGGCCAACACATACTGAGGGTAGTTGGCTGGGTCCTCTATACCTGCAATCACAAGTCTTTATAACGTCAGCCAATATGAAGGCAGGAGGAGACACCTGCTCCACCAGTAGTCTCTTGGAGCTGTGGATGGCCAACACATACTGAGGGTAGTTGGCTGGGTCCTCTATACCTGCAATCACAAGTCTTTATAACATCTGCCAACATGAAGGCAGGAGGAGACACCTGCTCCACTAGTAGTCTCTTGGAGCTGTGGATGGCCAACACATACTGAGGGTAGTTGGCTGGGTCTTCTATACCTGCAATCACAAGTCTTTATAACATCAGCCAACATGAAGGCAGGAGGAGACACCTGCTCCACTAGTAGTCTCTTGGAGCTATGGATGGCCAAGACATACTGAGGGTAGTTGGCTGGGTCCTCTATACCTGCAATCACAAGTCTTTATAACGTCAGCCAATATGAAGGCAGGAGGAGACACCTGCTCCACCAGTAGTCTCTTGGAGCTGTGGATGGCCAACACATACTGAGGGTAGTTGGCTGGGTCCTCTATACCTGCAATCACAAGTCTTTATAACATCTGCCAACATGAAGGCAGGAGGAGACACCTGCTCCACTAGTAGTCTCTTGGAGCTGTGGATGGCCAACACATACAGAGGGTAGTTGGCTGGGTCCTCTATACCTGCAATCACAAGTCTTTATAACATCTGCCAACATGAAGGCAGGAGGAGACACCTGCTCCACTAGTAGTCTCTTGGAGCTGTGGATGGCCAACACATACTGAGGGTAGTTGGCTGGGTCTTCTATACCTGCAATCACAAGTCTTTATAACATCAGCCAACATGAAGGCAGGAGGAGACACCTGCTCCACTAGTAGTCTCTTGGAGCTATGGATGGCCAACACATACAGAGGGTAGTTGGCTGGGTCCTCTATACCTGCAATCACAAGTCTTTATAACATCTGCCAACATGAAGGCAGGAGGAGACACCTGCTCCACTAGTAGTCTCTTGGAGCTGTGGATGGCCAACACATACTGAGGGTAGTTGGCTGGGTCCTCTATACCTGCAATCACAAGTCTTTATAACATCTGCCAACATGAAGGCAGGAGGAGACACCTGCTCCACTAGTAGGCTCTTGGAGCTATGGATGGCCAACACATACTGAGGGTAGTTGGCTGGGTCCTCTATACCTGCAATCACAAGTCTTTATAACATCAGCCAACATGAAGGCAGGAGGAGACACCTGCTTCACTAGTAGTCTCTTGGAGCTCTGGATGGCCACACATACTGAGGGTAGTTGGCTGGGTCCTCTATACCTGCAATCACAAGTCTTTATAACATCAGCCAACATGAAGGCAGGAGGAGACACCTTCTTCACTATAGGTCGGCCGCTTAGAAAACGACCTCCTCCAGCATTGGTTTAGCATTAGCGCGCAGGTCGTTTTCTAAGCGGCCGAACTATAGTAGTCTCTTGGAGCTGTGGATGGCCAACACATACTGAGGGTAGTTGGCTGGGTCCTCTATACCTTTAATCATAAGTCTATGTGGCCTGATAAATAAGTTCCTAAACACTAGCCAGAAAACACACTCAGTTAACTTAGTCAGAATATCTCCAGCCTGGGGTGGAAAAAAATGTTCTCAAGAGCACTGATAGGCAAGTCAAAAAGGGGATTTTAAAGTACCAACAGTTCCCTAGTGCACATGCTCAGTTAACTTAAATCTCCAGCCATAACAATCTTTTACATAATAAACTTAAAGGTTGGGAATCAAATGAAGAGGAGGAGTTTTTGGGATTTGACTGTGATGAATCTTCATCACAATACATCAGCTTTTCCATGAGTTTACACGAATTCCAAGTACTTAGCAGGCTTACCTTTACAAATGTAGGCATCCCACTTCACTAAAGTAACACAGAAGAAAATACAAAAGAAACACTGGCGAATTTTGAGGCCACAGGCTTCTTTCTCAACATTGAGAGTCACATTCAGTTCTAAGGTGTTATCTTAGGTTTAGGTTTGAGGGTTCTCTAGACTTTGTAAACCATTGGTAAGATAATTCCCAACTTCTCAGTTGTGACTGGTTATATTGAGGGGACAGGGATCTGACTATATTTGTTGTGTAGCAGTCTCTCTTTTTGTTTTGTGTGTAGTAAAGAAAACTCTCTCTTCTTTAGTTGAAAATGCTGTCAGTGACAGTGAAATATTATTATGTTTTGTGTATATAGTGCAAAGTTTTGGTATTCTGTACTAGTTTGGACTTTTTACCATGCAGGTAAGCCTGCTATCCTCACAAAAAAAAACCTAGGCCCTTGTGCTCTATGATACATCCTTAACCTCATTCAGGAATCAAGTGGTACACTAACACATACCAGTATGCCAGTGGTTGAAGGCTAGACAGACGAGGATGTACAGATCCCTCTCCAGCATCTTGTGACACCCGACGAAGCCTCTTACTTGTCGTTTGCTGTGCTCGACGAGACGTCCTACCTCGGGACTGGCCGGGGACCTTGTGCGGAACACCACTACACACAGGTCCAGCTGCGACCTTTGCGACTTCTCACTGTTCCTGCGATACAAATACTACATGAATCAACATCCACGATTGCAGCCTAAAGCTGGGTTTTCCTAGGCGCGGAAGCGGAGAGAGGAACGCGGAGAGCGGACTCCACTTGTCTTAGATAATTTAATGTTACTGTTTTCCTAGAAGCGGAGTAGAACACCATGTTAATCTTTTTTCCGCTCTCCGCGTTCCTCTCTCCGCTTCCGCGCCTAGGAAAACCTAGCTTTACTCAAACATTCAATAAATTAAAGCTTTTGATCATTCAAAATTGAAGCTCAGTCCATGGAGATTCTCTTGATATTTCAAAATCAAAGCAGAAGGCCAATTTAAATAGGCGGAAGAGTTCGAAGTTTGCTCAGTAGCTTTCCTGTATACAGCTTTCCATTCAAGAGTCATCTACACAGTGTTCCATTAAGTACTGCTCGTAAAGAGGAACTAAAATATTGTCTAGATATCCAGGAGACCTAGCACGCTAGCACCTGCACCGAATTAATTATTATCCTGCATTTACAAATTCTCACCAACTATTATTCCAATTCCAACCTTACTTACCTCTGTCCCTCCTGAAAGAGTGTGAACTCTGCCTCAGTGGGCTCCAGCACCGTCAGTAGCACACAGGACAGATGTTCTAGAGAGGCGAGGGGAGGCAGCGTACCTCGTAGCCTCACCTCGTTCCAGCCTGACCATCGCACCTTGCAGATGTCTATACAGTCAAAGTACCTGGAACACAGGGATAGCTTATAGCAGCCATACAACTGTTTTGGATACATGAGTTTTAGGGTAGAGTGATTGACATCAAATCTGAACGTTCCTACTTCCTAGATCAAATGTAATTTTGTCATGTAGCTATCAATTAATGATAGCTAACAAACGATCAAGGACAGTGACAAGACCAGGATTTATACCCTGGACCAAGAACATAAAACAGTCACCTAATAAAACACAAAAAAGGGGTATAGTTGAAGTAAAAAAAAAACATTAGAAGGTTCTTTATGAAACTTTGCAAGAAATTGTTTATTGCAACACGGCACCGCAGGAATATAATCAAGGATAGTACTTCATGGTACAAGAACACCTGGTCTCTGAAAATATATTCATCAAGAGAACAGTAGAAGTACTCTTAAAATATGGATCATTCCTGAAAAGCCCTGTAATCTATTGTAGCAGAGAAGGAAACGGAAATATTTAAACTGACACTATTATTGACACCACCAATCGTTCCAAATCAGTGATATGCACAGTGTGCTAAAAGAAAAATCAATATTTTTAACTGATTGAAAAGAAATAGAATGGTTTTGAGACGCTCAGTTGTTCTTATTTTACCACATCCTCGAAAGATATCCAGGACACACCATAAAATATTTTAAACCGATTGAAAATTTTTTCAAGACACTCAGATGTTCTTACTTGAGCACGTCCTCGAACGATATCCAGAAGACCCCGTCAGACGCACCGTGGGGCATGAGCAGTTCTCTCAGCTGAGGCGTCCATATGTCGGAGTCGTCCGACCAGTCTCCTCGCCAGCTGTAGTGTCCCCAGGGGTTCCTCAGTCTTACCAATCTGATGCCGTTCAGATCTCTCACGTCCAACACCGAGTAGGCATGCCTGCAGACATTACATCAACTCAAATAGTTTACTATGCCAGAGTGAACAAAACAAGTTGCATTAGCAACATCCACATCCGTAACATCTTGTACAAGAGTACAAACATATGTAGAAACTTCAAGGCAAGCATCTGTTGAAAATACATATGCTACATTTTCTAATTACAGCAGAGACTCACAATTCATCAATAATTACGACATTTTACTGATTTACTGAAAATGCTGGATTATGGAGGTAGTGAAAATACAGATGTAATAGTGTCAAAGGGGCTATTTCTAGGTATTAAAACATGTTTCAGATTTGTTACTTGCCCAGGAACTCCACCAGAAGGACTTGTCAGGTAAAACACCTTGTTGACTAATGCAAGGTTTAAAGTGCCATATTTTGGTAAACACTTTGCAAACAATCAACTACTTAAGATTAATCTCTTCTATTTGGTGGAGTAAAATTACAAAAAGTATATATTAGACAGATCCGAGGTTAACCATGAGTAGATAACCAAATCACTGCAGGAACCTCTAGAGGATTTTGGCTGAATCGTGATGAACTGGCCAAGTCTGAGGATATTTCCACGGTTTTTTTAATTTCCTCCTCATCCAATTCCAGAAATGATGAAAAGAATGCTGATTCGTAGTCTTATTGACCTTTAGTATCAGAGAACAGTTGTCTTTACTAACCCAGAAAAACCAATTAATAGTTCGCTGCGGACATGCGATGGCCAGCCGCGGCCGGTTGCGGGAGCAGCCAATGGGTTGTGTAGATGAGTGTGCAAAAATGTTTAAATTTAGTTTCATCCAATAGGAGAGGCATATTAAAACATGTACTGTGTTTCAGTCGTTATGGACGTATTTTTACAAGAACCCAACAGATAGCAGAACTAAACAGTAGGCTCTCAGTATTGCCAAATAGAGGGAAAAAGCAAGGACAAAAAATCCGGATATACCATAAAAAATATGACAAAAAGGCGTCAAGCAAATCTTTGAGGTTAAGTTCCTTCCACAATGCTTCATTGCAGCAATTATTATCATTATTCAATTCCTTTTTTACTAAAAGCCAAAACCCCACACTACACTAAATTTGAAACAATCCCTTCCACCGATAAAATATTTGTATCTGAAAACGAATTAAACTGGATTGAAGTAAAAGACACAGCGGCATTTGGAAACAATGTTCCTGTGCAAGGCTGAGCTCACACTGAAGCAAGGTTGTTGTTAAATGCAAGGACGACATTTCCCGCCCTGCACCAGTGGTGCCGGTACGGCAGGACGAGAATTCCCGCCCCTCACACTCAACATGAAGGAACTTAACCTGATTAACACTAATTCAAACCTAAAAGTAACAATTGCCTGACCTGGGTCGCAGTCCCCGCCGCTGATACTCATCTTCGTCCACCTTCATGTTGCCCCCGCCACACGAAGCCCCCATCAGGAACCTGGCCAGTCTGGAGCTCAACAGTTGGGCCCAGATCAGGTCCTTGTCAAGCTCATCTTCTGATGGCAGTGAGCTCGGCTGTAGTGGCACACTTTCACACGGGGCACCTACATGACAGTTAGATGGTTTAGTTTTAATTTTAATAGATTTTGAGACTCAATTAAGTTAGGAATATGGAAAGAAATATGAGTAATCACATTGATCACGTGGAAAATGCAGATGGAAGCAATTTTACTTGGATATGTGTTGGGAACCCATTAAAGGCCTCAAGAAGAAGGCCAAAAAACTACTGTTTGGCTAGTTTATGATGCAAAGGCAAAGGCGGATATAATCATCTCTATCAGCCCAAGCGTTAAAGCAAGTGAAAGGATGTAACACTTGAGCAGAGATATGGGAAAAATTTAAGTGGGCTTCGAGTGGACTAGCAAGAATACCTTGTTATAGAAGTTGATTTTGGCAAAACTTACACCTGATTGTGATGTCAGAGATTACATGAATATATTTTTTGACGTGGTGGACAAATTAAAATAAATGGAAGCTTTATTAAAAAATGATACATGGGAACTTGTAGATTTACCTCCACAGAAAAAGGCAGTTGGAAGTAAATGAGTAGTTAAAGCCAAGTATGGATATGACGGTATGGTTGAGCGCTATAGGGCACGTCTAGTAGCCAAAGGGTTACTCATAGAAATTTGAAAAAGACTATGATGAAATATTTGCTACAATTGTTAATTCAACAACAGTAAGAATTTTACTAACCATGGCAGCGACAAAAGACAGTTGGGTCCGAAATAATAAACTTAGTTTCCTTTACTTTTCCCCCTTGACGTGTGCATGATAATAGGCAATCTGGATGATTTTATTTCCAATAAGTGAAGTCTAAATACTATAAATATACTATATAGTTGAATACCTTCTACAAATAACATATTACAGTTTGAACATATTTAAGAAGTTTTAATTTTACCTGTCAACGTGGCCAAGCCTTCAATAGCTCTTCCGGAGACCAGCGCTTCATAACAACCATGTATTTTGGCAACAGCTTTCTCTATTAAAGGCACCCATAACTGCTTCCTTTTGGCCTGAAAACAAAGCAATTCCAACTCAAGCCTAGAATTTGAAAACAATTATTATAGTTTAAATTTGTTCGCTACGCTCACTCACCTTCAGGTTGTTAATCGTTCGCTGCGCTCACTTGTTTTCAGGTTAGCTCGTTCGCTACGCTTACTCGCCTCCAGGTTGATGTTCGTTCGCTACGCTCACTCACCTTTTGGTTGGAAATAGCTGTTGTCATAAATTTTAAAAAGTCATCCCTTTTATTGTTTATAATACAGTACTTTGATAAAGGTTTTTATGTTATAATATTTAACATTGGAGAATTTAAACGTTGTTAAGTGCACAGATGTGCTGCGATTGGGGTTTAATACATTGGGACTTATTTAAAAGTAAAATAGTTTTCTGTGCTGCAATCTGTAGAAACACTGTGGCACTATTTCAAATCATGACTAATGCTAATACAGAATGTTGTGATTATTCAAACCTACAAAACAGTTGGTGAAAGTAAACATCTGCTTTTAAATTATATTTATTTGTAAACATTGTAGATCAAAAAGTCTGACATTGGCCCACTTAAAACCCTCTGGGGCAGAGCCATTTTGACGGATCTGCACCAAACTTCACTCGAACCATCCTTGAAAGATGCTTAATAATGACTGAAAGTTTCATTACAATCTGTCGAGCGGTTTCGGAGTCCATAACGTATATACACACACACACACATACATACATACATACATAGTTCCTCTTTTATAGATATAGATTAAACCGTTATAATAGGAACTGATGGGTTAGATGTTCATTAAATTTCATACTTTTGTTGATGGATAAAAGGTTAGCTAGGATTATTTGGTGATTTACTACCTCTTCAATAAGAACAGGACACAAGAAAATGCACTTTTACCATCATTGTCTTTAGGATGTGGCATTCTTCCTTTTTCAAATTTTGGAATCAATAATACCACTTCCACCACACTACCACCACACTACACTACCACTTCATGCAACGGACGCTGAATAAATTTTGGGCCGAGCTCGGATCGGGTCAACCTTGCCAGGCTAGATCTTACTCTGTTGCAATCCCAGTAAGCATTTAGGAGTGTGATAAAAAATTGACAAATTTGCTCCAATGTTTTGTATGGCCGTGGAAGATGTTCTCCATTTTGCCGTAGCTGGGGGCCGTAGCTGGGGAAGACGTTCATGATTTCGCCCGATCCGCATAAGACATACTCAATATTAGCGGGACTGCACACAATTTTCTAAATTTAATTGTGCCCGCAGAAGTTGTCAGGATTTCACTAAACCACAGAGGATGTCTACGTAACCATGGAAGACGTACATGATTTAGTCGTAACCAAAGAAGATTTTGAAAATTTTACCACATAGGGGGAGATCAAGTAAAGTATTGTATAAACCAATTGCAGTATGCCAATTAATATTTTAATAAATAAATGATCAACAACACAACCCTATTTTGACCCAAGACCTAAGGACCGAAATCTTTGACCCAACTCAAAGTATTAAAGTCTGTTCCGCAGACCTGTAGTTACAATAGTAACAGATGTTACCAAATATTGGGTTCCAATGGCTTGTCAGATGCTGTACTTTACCACAACTCACCTGAGAGTACACGAGATGTCCTCTCTTGTCACAAGGTAGCAGATCATCCACCAACACCGTGGTCCACACTCCGTCCTTGCACAGTCGTACTTGGTACGCCCCTTGGTGACAATAGTCCCTCATCACCATCACTTTCTTGACAAGGTCTTCTCTTTCTGCCAGCACAGCTAGCGCACTAAGAAGCCAGCAGTTGCCGAGAACACCTGCAGAAAAAAGTATGGAATAGTCTCACAATACAAATTTGTTAAAATTAGTCATATCTTCTGTTATCTGCAAATCTCTCTTTTACTTTACATATCATGGTCATAAGGGCATTATATTCTTGGTAATACCGAATTCTTTTATTCTGACATCCTGGGGATGCCACATATGTCGGAAGATTGGCCTGTAGTTATCAAGCTTTGTCAACAATCCAAAATAAGTACAATCTCTATAGATAATATTTATTCACCTTGTGAGATGTCAGATGGCAGTGGTGTGCGAAAGATGGCCCACTTCAGTTTAGAGTCGCCTTCCGTGTTGATCTGGTGAGGTCGTAACCACTGCACCACGTGGTTCTGGTCTTTGCTGTCCCCGGGGTTGTAGTACAGAGACTTGGGCGCTGGAGGGAACGAGTCGTCTACAAACGGCTCGTTGTTCTGAATCAAAATCATTTATCAAACTATTAAACTCAACATGGAATTTCAAAGACAAGTTGTACACATTACAAAAGTCTTTTAAAATTATAAAACTTCTTTACAGAGTACGAGAAGTCCAACAAGCAAGAAAATTAAGCAAGGGAAACAAGGTTTGTTGGAAAAATCTTTCTGGAAAGGTCTTACTCTTTAGACTTGTTGGGCTTTTGCATGCGCACCAGTTACCAGGAAGAAGTTAAGAAGTTTAACGACTTTGATACCAAAGAAGATTGAGATTGGAACTTTTAGGTACTGATACTTTGAACCTACAGCTTGGTAATATAATGCCTCTTTAATGCTTAAAATATATTCCAAGATATATAAATTGCTATATCAAAGTATGAAGCATAAAATGCATTAGAAGTAAGAAAGTTTAAGTGGGGAGAATAAAAGTGACAAACCTCTTTGCAGAACTGCACGATCCTCTTCCATTTCTCCAATGCCTCTCGCTCCTCTATATGACGCAGATCCTCCATCAGTTCACTCTCTTGTCTCATAGTCTGCACTCTAGGGGGCACGTCAAGGGGCGCAGGAGACGACACTGGGGTCCCAGGGGCGACTGGCGACGCTGATGAAGAGACACTCCGCGACGTCTGACACATCTCACATGCCACGGACGCTGTGTGGTTCTCAAATGTGCAGTGAACACAATGCCACGATGTGGAGGGACTGCGAGCGCCTACTTGGGCTGGGATTACAGAGAGTTCGTTGGTAACAGGGCCGTTGCTGTAACTCCCGATAACTCCTGATCTGCTGTGTCGCACGTGAGCGCTGCTTCTGTGGGAGCTGTTCTTGCGTGTTTGTCTCTGTTTGGGTATGGCACCCAGAGCTGGATTGGCACCGGCCAACTTCTTCTGCCCGTGTCTCGGAGAAGGACTTCTGGGAACTTTAGATGTAGGCACTTCGAGCAATCTTTGCGGCTTGTTGGCCGTTTTGCACACTTGACAATGCTGGGAGCTGAGAGGATTCTTCAATGTGCATTGCGGACAGGTCCAGAACTCGCCTTTGCGTAGGGTCATGTCACGTACTAACGATATACTTCTGAGCTTCGACCCTCCACAAACGACACAAGCCATTTCGCTGCCGGAATTGACTAGAGTGCACTTTTTACAGGTCCAATCTTCCGCGTTATCACCGGGTAGAAATTGAAAGTCATCTTCTAAGTCTTGTTGAAGATGGTTATCTGGCCCATTTTCCAATCCTTCTTCTTTAGGAGGCGTGTATCGTACACTGTCTTTGGTAACTGTGATGAGGCTGGGTTCCGTTAGACTCGGCGGGCTTCTTACGGAGTTACAAATATCACAAGCTTCAGACCAAATAGGATTGTAAGCGTAAGAACATTTTATGCAAGTCCACATTCTCTCAAAGTTTTTAGCGCTTGTGCTTTCAGTAAGGGAATTTTTCTTATCCACCAGATCTATAACCACGGATCCCGTAGAAACTCTTTTGGCCGCCACAGTCCCTTGTGGACTCCGTAAATGCTGAACACCGGGTTCCGAAATTCCTATGTACGAGTATCTAGTTGTGCTAGGAGATCTGTTGATTGGAGTCAGTTTCAAATTTAAATTATTAGCTTGTCGCGGCACCGTCTGTTGCAAATTACCTTGAGCATCCGTTTCGACTAAACTTCTTCTGTTAATCTTATTATCTAAAGGCGGATCGGAGGGCAAGACCTCCGAAAAAGATCTACGATATATAGGTTTAGTCCATAAACTAGTAGCGAGACTAGAATCAGTTTGTTGCACCGAAATAGCGACTTCCTTAGCTGGAGTCGCAAGCAAATTTCTGTGAGCGCCAACGGAACTTCTCCAGTCTGGAATCGTGATTACGACCCCAGATTTGGGCAAAGTACTATAACTACTGGGAATGTTAGCTTTCCGAGGCATCTCACACACGGCACACCTTTCCACACTGTTCAGATTGACCAGAGTACATCGCAAACACGACCAGGAGTTCTTGTCCCCGATGTTGTTGACGTTCCATGTGAGACTGTTGGACTCCACCACCAGACTGCTGGGGCGTCGACGCTGAACTACACCATTGTTGGACAAAGACCTGCTGACTTTGGAGCGGACCTTCTCGTAGACGGAGGGGCTCTGTCGCTTGGGGGAACGCACCGTGGTGTTGGTGGCCATTCCACATGCGGCACAACGATCACTGACGCTGGTGTTGGTGAGGCCGCACACACTACAGTCCCAGTGAGACATGAGGTTAGGTAGACTGGTGGAGCGGACGACACCTTCTCCTCGGCCACTGTCCCCTGCGTGCCACGTAGCGGCCTTCACCTGACATCTCCTGGCACTGCAACCAAAGATCCATGGTAAACATCTGCCTTTTACTTTGTATATGGAGAAAGTATTGTTTTTATCAACATTTTTGAGTTTGAGTTTTGGAATGATATATCCGTTTTGGATCCCCCTGAATCCAAAAAAGTGGTTTTACCAAGTGATGTCTTTGTGTGTATGGATGTGTACAGAGCTAGAGACCACACCTATGGTCCGATTTTAATGCAATTTGGTAGGCCTATATGGTTACTAATCCATAGTACCGTAGGGCATGGATTTTTTTTAATAGCACGGTTTTCCCACTTAAACCTGTAAAACTAATTTCCTAAAAAAACCAAGGAGATTTTAATACAAATTTAGTATGTTGCAGTCTTCCTTTTAGCTCTAAACAAAATGGTACACACCCCATGATGTAAAAATTACGGTATTGCAACTTTTGTGATTTTTTTTCATAAAAATCATAGTTAATCCCACTACCCATGATAAGATTTGTTGACAAGCAAATGGGAAAAAGTATGTGTCAGATTTCTGGTATAGTTTATTTCCTCATTGATTACGGAGTTCCATCTTTGAATAAGGATAAAACTAGACACACACATCACATTTCCCACTTTTTTTTTACTTTAAATTGAACATTGTCATGTACTGTTTCAGGTAGTAGTACTAGATGTGGCCACAGGTGGCGCACATTGACTAGTGGTTATACAATGACAGGTTGACATGTGCCACGGGTGGTACACAGTTTCATTAGCTTGATTCATATCTTATTTTGTTACTAAGAACCGAACCGGTACGATGATTTTACAACAGATTAGTTTTCATTTATTTTGTTATTCTGATAAACAAACTTTTGTTTTTTCGTCTGAGGAATTTAATACGCCCACACATATTAACTTTGGACCAGAATTCAGTTTGTGCTCGTCGAAACAATCTTTTTCAGTGAGTAAAAAAGTTTTGAAATTATAAAGACAATACTTTACCCTGATTTATACATGTCTTCTCTGGAGAATTGGAATAAGAATCGTTCTAAAATAAATTATTATCATTTTAAATAATGAAATAAAATTCGCCTGTTTAGCTCTTAACTAAAAACAAATTATTTTCAAATTTTAAATAATTTTGTCAAACTCTGTTGTCAATAGGATATTTTAAAGTCCAAACTAAATTTCAAATAATTTGTTATAACCTTGATCTTATCATTTTTCACATAATTTAAATTCAACTCAATTGTTTTCAATGTTTTCTGGTGGGAGCTATGTTTTGCAAGCTTTTGTTAGGGAAAAGTTTTTGGGAAAAAACAAAATATAAATAATTACTCCGCTTTCCTGAAGAGTAAAAATTAATCGTTATCACAAATTGTGAGATCAGTTAAGTTCCGTTTATGAAGAAAGTTCAGAGCTTCCCTTCAATTGCTTTGTTACACGGCTAATGGCAGCGATCTTGGTATCAGAGTTAACAGTTGAAACAACAAAATGTTAAGGCTTCTAAACGTAAATAAATTCTGGATAGTAAAAGTAGAAAAATTTATATTCTATTCAAACAATATTTATTGGAAATAATTTGATAATTTACCAATAAATAGTTAACCCATTTAAATTCACCTCTAGTATGACAGTTTTTGGTTTTACTAGCAACAATATTATAACCTTCACAAGTAAAATACTCTACAGTTTTTTCTCGATTAAATCTCATCTATTAAAAATGTACGTTACATAAAATGTACAAAGTAGAATATTTTGACACAGTGTATTATGTGTGGCAATAGTATAGACCTAAGTTATTCTTTATACATAAATATTACTATTAGCCTATTCCCCATCGCGGTTTGGCATGCAATTACAAAAGATTTTACTTAAAATTTTAGTACTGTAGAATTTCCGTAACGGTTGGGCATACAACAATGCTTCAATATCATAAATTATTTATTTTTTTGAGCTCTACAAAATGGTTTGGAAAGAAATTGAAAAATGTTATGTTTATGGGGTAAAAATGGGAAAACCCCATTTTTACCCCCTAAACCCCTGTTCCCATAGTCCTATCATGCTGGTTCGCGAATTCATTCGAACAAATGTAGGTTTTCCCATTTATACCAAATTGCATCAAAATCGGATCATTTTTGCTAGAGTAATCGTGCTAACGGACAAATATATTTAAATATATACATTATATGAATTTGAACGGATGGTGTTTTTGGCCTCTGGGGACCTCAAAACGAAAAAGTAAATCGGTCCCAGCTCCAGTTCTTACCGTGACACCTACGCAAATACATTAGCTTATTCCCTAAATGGTAAATTCGCTAAAAATTAATAAAATATGGAACAACTTTTAAAATAGCTCGATGATTTAAAAGTCACGTAACAAATTACTTGGCTATCGAAGATGAGAAGGCCAAGGGTTAGAGAGAAAATTGTCAAAGCCATATTTCAACAATGTGTCAATAGTTCTGCACCAACCGGAAACTACAATTGCCTCACATTCTTGTCTCAACACGACCCAAGTTCTATCGTGTTCGTACCTGCTCTTGCAATAAGGGTTGTGTCCTGAGAAACCCTTTTTTTTATTTTTAAAGATACAATTTTGGTAAGAGAGTTAATTAAAAGTAGGCCTTATAAACAAATTCCAAGTAATGTTTTGGGTTTCATCTTTATGGATGTTACTTATTATTAATTTTGTTTACAATTTAATTTCTTGTTTTAATATTATTAAATTCATAAGGGTTTAAGATGGAGCTGTAAGATAATAGCAATGTTATAAAATTTTATTTATCAAAGAATTGTCTCTTTTATAGTTAACTCAAGTGTAAATTTCAGTTCAGTAGTTCCTTTGAATCTTCCAAAAAACCTAAATGGATGTATTCTAGAGATAAGTTTTTAACTTTTTAATGCTCTAAAAATATTGTTTTTAGCCAATTTTTTGTGTTTATTTTTTTATGTTGTAAGTAAATAGAAAAAATGTTTTTAAAAAGCAAGTTATGGAATAGATAGTTATGATACTTTGCAGGTCTAACTAAATTTGAATAAAATTTAATTTGTCTATAGGTATTTGACAATTTGATTGGGCCTAGTTTAATAAGCTCTGAGGAATTGATATAAATAGTGACTGTACAGTGATTAAATTTAAATTAGACTTTTTACAGCAAAGCTTTTGGGAATAAGTGTTTGGGTCCAATATATGTGTTAATATCCAACAAACATGGGATACACATACTGTAGACTATTTAAGTAAATTTAAATTTAAGTACCACACTTTCTCGTCTATTATTTTTACCAGGTTGTCTGAAGAAAATGCATTCCACTAAATTATGTCTTAACTCATCATATTTTTTATACGTTCAATCCATTTTCAGGCATAGGTTGATTTTTGGGGCAATTGTGTAGAGGGCATTCTTGTTTTGCCAAATAAAGCGGTTTGAGTTATATCTAAGGCTCGAGAGAGACTAAGACAGTTCAAATATTAGAAAATCATCATTTTTTAAATTTAGAAACAATTCTCATAATCATAGGTAGGCTATATTTCTGGTAAGAAATAATAACCATGCATCAATAGAATTCCATTGTTTAGGTAAAACTCTAAGCCACATAGTTTTGTCACTCAAAATATATAACTTCCTTGAATCCATAATTAAATCACACACTACAAAGTATTTTAAGAATAAAATCTACTGTTGGCTGACCAACCCATTTTACAGGTTAATTATTTTTTTTTATTAATTAATCACAAAAATTGAACATGTACACAAACAGCCTAGAGGCATGGTTGCCACCCTTCCCGATTCTGTACCGTATTAAAATTGTATGGATTTGTTAATGGCTAAGATCACCTGTTTCATAGCCTGGAATATTTATTAAGAATTCATGTATACTTGCAATTAGATGTAAATAGAAGAAGTGAACAAAATACACTAGAAAAACCAGAATGATTAATTACTCTTAACACATGGTGATGATAGTAATACAAAGTCAAAAGTCGCTTGAGTCAGATGGTAACAGTTGTAGATAAGTCACAGATGTTACGTCTTTCATCAATGATTGACTCATTTTATGATATTCACAATCTCTGTTTAGTTAAGTACAAAGTCTGAACTGAATTGTTGAGGGAAAACACTGGACAAATTATTAAACTATTGTTTAACAGCTGATCCAGCTTAAGATTCCTTGGAGGCTAGCGGCCATCTTGGATAATTTTAAACAGCTGCTGAAGAGTTTTTTATCATCCAAGAATATTTTTTCTTCCAAAATGAAACTGACCCCAGCTTCATTTAGTAAAAATCTTTTCACACAAATGAAAATTTCCTTAGTCTGCAAGTTTGCTAATAGCAGGGGTACTTTAATATAGCCTAAAAATTTTTACTTTAGATGTAGGTACATTGTAATGTAAAACCATATTTAAGTGTTGATAATTTTTTAATAAAATCTTTTGATTAGACTGAAAATAGCTAGGCTTAAACAGTGGGTACCGTCCACAAAGAGTCCCTGATAAAAAATAAATTTTAAAAGTCACTAATTCTACTAAATATTATTTTTTCACCTTCGTTCTATTTATTTATTTATTTTGACGGCAAACACCATTTTACAACAAGCTTTACATAGTGATTTCTAGAGCTAAAGTCACCCTATGTGACACATTTTGACAGCTTGTGTGACATCTTCGGGGGTATTCTATCTTCATATATTCTATTTAACACTTAGAATACTACAAATTTCTACTGTCTATTTACATAAAATATTTACACTTGTATCACAGTCAGGCCGAACGGTGACACGCTGACGGCACACAGCGGATTCGCGGCAGGAGGCCTTTCCTCCACCGTTTAATTTCTTGTATTGGGGGTGTTGGAATTTAAGGTATTATGCAAAAGACCCTCTAAAGGTACGGTACCACACAAACTAGTAAAATTTACACAGGGTGTATCTGAATATAAACCTTTACCTAAAGAACGAAGGCAACAAAATAAGGCAGTGCTTACATTTTTGAAATAGTACTTGCAGTGCCTTACCCCTTGCTAATTGTACGAAAGCATTCTGGAGGTAACAAACAACTCGGTTCAATTATAGACCTAAACTTGACCTTCCTCATTATCTAACCTGTATCTTGTTAACACCTAAGTAATACAACCTTGATTTCTCATTAAAAAACAATCCTTCAACCCACATGCCTTGTTACATTTCATTTGCCTGCCAGTCCATTTATATCCCCATGAAAAAAAAAAAAAAAACTCCCTTCAAAAGAAACATTATTGACTTAAAGAATGACAATAAATAGACTAATCAACGAAATTCATAGCCTTATCTTCCTCTCATTATCTCTTCGACCGCCTTTATCTCGCCTTTATTTTACCAAGCAGCAGAGTAAAGTGACACCATCAGGCTTACTACTGGACAAGCCTTTAAAAAATGTACCTACCTATAGTCTTTTTGAATTGAACAGGGATAAGTTATCACCTACCGGGTACGGTAAGTAATATTCATTCACGTTAAAAAAATATGGTAGGCTATATTTGGATTCAAGAGCTAAAAAAAACAAAAAAACAATAAAATTTCAAAAATATCAAAATCAAAAATTTGTGTGGAGGCACCTAGCCTATATTTAATAAACACCTCATAGGCTTCCGTTTCTCAGAAGAATGTCCACACGGTTGCACCAGAAAAATTGCATTTTGTGGTTGAGCAATTATTCCTGCCCACATTTCTCGCATTTTGCAACATCGCTAATAACACAATGCTGTACCTCATTTTAACTTATAATTCGTACTCAATAGGTACCTAGACTAACATGGATGAAAATTGGCGGCCTAGTCACTTCCCTGGCAACGTGCATTGATACAAGCTACAAGGGGATAATGAAGAAGATTGTACCATTACCACTTAGCACGTTCGCTGCGACCCATCAAATGGCAGGCGCAGCCCCAGTGTGGCGCAGCCCGCAGCGTCAAACAAACCCGATTGCCAGGTGATTTCTTCATTGCCTTTGATTGGCTTTCATATTTTGGTATGACGAATAGAAAATAAAGTGTGGTGATATACCTGCTTTATGACAAGAGTCAACGTAGTTCGCTAAACACCCAAATATAGCAGGCACTGCTTGTAACGTAGCCGGTCCCATTGTATTGCCAATTGGAGGGAGAGAGACGGGACACCAAGTTGATTTTTAAGTTTGCCAGACACGGATTTTATTGGGAAATTTTACTACCAATCTACACCACAACCAAAAGCAAGTCCGCTAACGTGGTAGCTTATAGGTCTGCCTTCGACCCACGCTAGAGCAAAATTGAAGATATACGAAAGGCAAATTTATTTGACGCTATTCATTGTATAAAAACTTGTACTGTGAATGAATATAGAGAATTTGAATTGAATTGAATTGCCGAGCGTATCCGATCGGTTACGGCAGCACCTGAACACCGCTCAGCCCTTATCCGATCGGATACGCCCGCAGTGAACGTGTTAAACCTTTTGGTAATAAGAGCGGCCTAGCCTATAATAGTATTTTTTGTAACAGATAAGTTAGATAGATAGCCTAGGCCTAGCCTATGTAAATCGAAAATAGGCATAGGCTATCAAATTTGTTATTGGAAAAATATTTATAGGAAAATGTGTTGTTTAGTTTTAAATTTAAGAAATGAGTAGGTAGCCAATTTTCGATTGGAACAGCCTTGGGTTTTTTTTAAATTGGTTAGGCCTATGTCCTTAACCACTAGAGCACTTCATGGGCCTAGTGTTCTACCTGTCATAAATTTGTCAAACTTTGAAAATTCAGGCTAAACATGAAAACTAAGTAAGTTACTTAGCCTAACTTAAGTTAGTACAAAAAAGTAATACACATTTTTCATTAGGAGCGACGGAAAAGCATTAAAGTCGTGATCTAGATGCAATACTGCACAACCTCATAGGCTAACATTGTTAAGGCGAAATTCCATGTGTCCGTAATGTAAAAAATAGGCTAAACTTAGGCCTACTTAGGCTATGTTTATGACCAAGTTACCACCCAACCTTTCTCTGGGAATTAAAATCAACTGTGAAGGCTATGCAGAGTTGGTACTTGGCATAACAAATGGAGGATTTTTAAAATTAAAAACTGGGTGGAGAAACCGATTAATTAATTTAGGCCCAGGGCCTAGGCCTGATTGTCAAAGAAATACCGCCAATAGAAAAAATTAGGCTAGGCCTAATTACCATCTTTAAATATTAGGCTAGCCTAATTAACAATCTTGCCTGCCTATCAAGTAGTAAATTTTTGTTGGCTAAGTTACTAAACTAAGTAACTCAAACCTATTCTTTTCTCTATTATTAATAATCTAGCAGACAACAAGAGTAAGTTTGGCCAATGAAAACCGAAAAATATATTGCATGCCTGACAGCCATTGAATTGAATTAATAACTTAAAATGTTATCCTGAAGCATGAACAGAGGTCGTTAAGTACCGACTGTTGGACACGCTTCATTAATTTTAGAGATATTCCCTGTTTAACGCTTGAAAAAGAGAGAAGATAAATAATTGAGAAAATTAAAAATCAATTGACTAGGCCTATGTGAGAGGTTAGCTAACATACCTTTGTGCTAAGCAATTGTCAACTGGTTCTTTCTCAGGGTTGGAAGTTTGATTCGAACTACTCAGCTCACTTCTTGATTCATCCCTCTTGATTGATGAAACAGTGAATGTAGAATATTTCAGGGGACGTTCATTGAAACTAGCACTTCTACCCCTAAGTCCAGGTTTTCTAGGTGGTTTGAATTCTCGCACAGTTCCACATCTTATGCACTTAATTTGTTCGGTTGGGTTAATTAAAGTGCACTTCTCACAGTGCCACTGTAATACTGAAGCAATAGAACCCATTTTCTAACAATCATGGCTAATTTTCAAATTAATTAACTTGTAGTTCAATAATTCCTACCAGCTGATCCACCATATTGAAACAGTTTGGCAACTGACAACCGACTGCTCTCTTGTTTAAGGCCTTTGTTGTTATTGGTCAGGTGAAAGAAATCTCAGCCAATTAAATCCAAGAATAACCGGCTAAGCGCAGTCGCAGCTCCAGCTGTTTTCATAACAGCTGTATAATATGACAGTTTTATTGACTGAAAACATAGAGAACATTATTTATAACACTTAGATCACGCGTGGGGTCTCATAGCTTATAATGTCATAGCTTATAATCATGAATTTGTTCCATAGCTTATAATGTTGAAAATGTGGCATAGCTTATAATCAGTTATAAGCTATGCCACACTTTCACGAAAAATTATAAGCTATGCCACAATTTCTCTAAAACGTTATAAGGTATGAAACATTTTCAGTGTCACAACTTATAATGGTCAAATAGTGGCACAGCTTATAATTCCGAATCTGTTCTATAGCTTATAATCCTGATTTTGAGTCATACCATAGACTAACCAACACAAGTAGACTTCTCATCCCATTGTAAATTTTGAAGCACGTTTTTCGTGTCTAGTTCATGTACGGTGACACTGGGTGCTAGTGTCGACGAAACTTTGTTTCTATTATTTTAGGGTTAATTTCTTGATTTGTGCTTTACTGTTTGGTTATATAACTAGGGGACAAGTTATTGTTTATGATTAGATCGTATTATTTGGTTAAACGAGGTTTTAAATGGCTGTAATAACGGGAAACAAATTGTAAACAAAACACGACCTCTACAGAAAAACGGACAGAACTAACAATAAAATTGGCTTCAGCTGTTCCATAAGGATGGGAAATCTACTAAGGGAGTATGTTTAATCTATGGTCATACCTTATAATTCTGATTTTGGGGCATAGCTTATAATTGAGGAGAATGTTGCATTGTGGGAATGGCATCAGCTGCTCGCTTCAGTCAGGTCTATGGGGTGGTGTGAATAAAAACTAGTATTTGCTTAAACTAAGCTGATTTCAAGTATATTCTAAGTTTTAGGTGAATAAAAGTAGTCAGAATATACTACCCCTAGTAAATTCTAAGATCATCAAATGACTAGAATATTCTAACCTTTGTAGGTGAATAAACGTTAGTTTTTACTAGCCAGGGCTAGTATATTCTTAAAGATTTTTAAGCTAGGGGTAGGCAGGCTAGCATTCTGGTGACGGTGGCCAAAAAAGGGTTATCAGTCATCGTGGCTATGTTTATGCATGTACGGAACAGAAAAACGTACTCTGTCAGGCGTGAGTTAGATGTAGATAAGTCCAAGCAGTACATTTACCAGTACATTTACTGGAGTAGAAGCATGTGCACTTGTAAAGTCCCCCATACAGTGCTTGCTTCTATGAACAAAAATTTAAGTTTTTTTATGTTTTTTTTTAATATTTTTTTATTTATTACAAATCTTGGATATGGGGTAGGAAATAGAAGTTGGGAGACTTTAACAATGTTTATAAAACAATGTATTTATTTCCAAAGAAGCCGTCATAGTGCCATCAATGTTGTCACCCATAATCATGTCACTTCCAATAGAGTTCTTAGGGAGTTTAAGTACTTCCAAGTTCCAACTGTAACGTTTCCTTTTTAATTTGAATTTTGATCAGTTTGATCTGCTGTATCAGTACCAAACGTTGAAGTTCTGGAAGTGAGAGATCTTTGGTTTCTTCTGTTAAATATGGTTGAAATTAAATATTGTACGTGTATTTTGAAAATCAATAAATTGTAGCTGGATAACATAAATATATAAAAAACATACTGAACTGTTTTGTTTATATATTAAAGGAAATATTTTCTTATATTTTATGTTTACTTCAGAATAATTTATCTATATGAATAGGAAAATAATTTAGTTTTATATTATGATAGGGCAAAGAAACTAGTTTAGTATTAAAACGTTACTTTTCCAAGTTAGAAACATTTAAATGCGTTATAATCTTTTTAAAGATACTCGTTAATACCACTATAATGCCGATCTCTGATTACGGTAATAAAATAACACTTTACGCATAACTATGAAAAAGACATGCAGATTAACACCTTTAGTTATAGATAGTCACCTGCAATATGGGCACCCTCTTTCAATTTTGTATCAAAAATCATCATAGAGCCGCGCCGACTTAAAATACGTAAGTTTGTGTTATCTTAGTATTTTCTAGGCCTAGTTTGTTCTAACCTGTTAGAATATACTAGGAATTGCCAAATGATCCAAGTATATTCTAACTAGTCTTAGCAAATTCTTATTCACCTCGTTTTGAGAATTAGCTAAAACTAGTTAGAAAATACTAATAAGAATTTACTATTTTTATTCACTTCACTGCATATATACGATATTTTATGGTAGGATACGATAATTACGTGGGGTCCCAGTTTATCGACATCCCAAAAGATCGACACTGAAATAGTCCCACTTTGTCGACAACTCAAAATGTCGACAGTGTCGGTAATATGGGATGTCTGTAAAGTGGGATGTCGGTTATGTGGGATGTCTGTTATGTGGGACGGTTGTGTAAATTTTCCCACTTTATCGACACGCAAAATGTCGACAAGCAAAACAGATCGACAAAGAGCGGGAGATTCAAATTGAAGGTGAACAGCTCTTGCTGAACAGATCGGTTGAGTATAATGAGAGTCGTTCTTTTTTAACTCCGAACGACTTCTATTCACGGCGCTTGCAGCTTGCAGTCTCCTTCAAATTTGTCAATGCTATCTCAACTATCTTGTGTATATAATATGTGTTCTGCCGTTTGAAGGCTTAAAATAATTTGACATTTATTTGTCGCACTTGTATTATGATTTATTAACTGTTTTTTTCGTGTAAGAAGGTAGTTAAAACTTGCTACCTAGGCCAAACTTTGCTAGAGGATGATTATGGTATCCACCAAAGTTTTTTCAATCATACATTTATTTGAAGTATATAATGACATAGTAGGGGTGTACATAGTTTTTTCATTTAACTTGCTAGCTTAGTGTTAAAACAGATTAATCCAAATAACAAATTTACGTTGTTCATTGTTACACTTTGAAATATTAAATGAGTTGTAGTACATTTGTATCAGCAACTTACACCGGAAATGAGGAAATTAAAAAACTGCGTTAATTTGCCTAAACAAACTGCAGATGCTTTGATTCTTTTGTTAACCTTTCCATTGCCAATATGGCGATCCATAAAAAGCAATGACAACATAAAATTTTGCAATAATTTCTTTCCAAACTATTTTGTAGAGCTTAATAACAAATTATTTAGTATATTGAAGCATTATTATGCGCCTAATGGTTACGGAGAAAACTCAAACCGTTTTAAATTTAAAATCCCAATGATATTCTTATGGAGAATAAGTAAACCGTTGTAGTTAGCTTGTTTATGAACATCTTTTGATCAAAATGTGAAAATGCATTTATTTCATACTAAACTACCTATATGTAATAATATAAAAAAAAACTTTAAAACCCTCCCTGTTACAACATACCTAAGTACTTGTTAAACTAATGCTATATTGAAATAGGGAATAATATTGTGATATTTTAAGGAGATAGTGTAAATCCAATCAAGCAAATGGAAATTCGTTTAGTATGCAGGTTTGCTGCGGGGGGTATTTAAAATAAATCATAGAGTTGTTACAGTGTTTACAAACACACATCAGAACCAACTGTAAACTGTAATGGCTGCTTAAGAAACTTAAACACCTTATCTAAATGCAGTAGGTATAAAGAAATAGTATGTGCCTACTGTATTAGGTTACTAGCCAGGTAAGCGGTAAGGTGTTTTATAGAAGGCGTAGCCGAGTACGGGATTTTCGTGCGACACAATTTATTTAGGACAGAACATAAATTAGATTTTTTTCTGAAAATAAAATAGGCCGCTGAAATTAGCTGTTTATTTCAACAGCTGACTAAGTACAAGTACATTACGTTACTTTTCCGTGTTTAGGCATGGCAAAGGGTAACTTCACATCCTATGGATGGAATAGGAAAAGTCCCTGTTTCTGTGTAGTAAGATGTAAATAATTTTATTACACACAAGGTTAGGTGTTAAAATTAAGTTTTTAATCTTAGATCCATAACAGGCCTAGATTTTTAAACTTGCAACTCTAACCACGTTCTCCTCCCGTTGTGAAGCTCGGTTATTATATAGACATACCACGAACAAAACAACCTGCTTACAGCAGCTTGTATTTTCTTAAAAATGTCAGATTATTTCTTTGCTAAATAAAATGAAATAAACAAAGATTACCAAATTTGATTAAGTAAAATACAAGAACAAGAAAACTAAAAAAGTTTTGTTATTATCCTTAAGAATAACTTGGGAACTTCTTATACATCCTCAACCGGTAGGCATGCAACAATAAACTAAATTATTTCTTTTTTAGCGAATTTCCCATATAGGGAATAAGCTATTACCGTGGTACTCATCGTAAGACCTGGACCCGGGACCGATTTACTTTTTTGTTTTGAGGTCCCTAGAGACCAAAAACACCATCCGTTCAAATTCATATATATATATCGCGCTATTGGACACACATATAAATATAAATATTTATATTTATATATGTGTCCAATAGCGCGATTACTCGAGCAAAAATCATCCGATTTTGATGAAATTTGGTACAAACGTGTAAACCCACGTTTATTCAAACGAGTTTGCGAACCAGCATGATCGGACTATGGGAACAGGGGTTTATGGGGTAAAAATAGGTTTTTCCCATTGTTGACCCTAAAAACTTAAAATTTAGCAATTTCTTTCCAAACCATTATGTAGAGCTTAAAAAAACAAATAATTTAGTATATTGAAGCGTTATTATGTGCCTAATGGTTACAGAGAAAACTCCAAAAATCTATAAATTTTAAATTCCTATGTTATTCTTATGGAGAATAAGTAAACTGTTGTAGTTTGCTTGTTTATGAACATATTTTGATCAAATTTGGAAAATTCATTCATTTCATACTAAACAATTACATTTTACAACAAATACCTTTTTACCCTCCCTGTTGCAGCAAACTTAAGTACTC